TCTGAAGTAACTTGTGACTGACCAAGGTCACACCAGCGGCTGCATGTGGACGAGTGGGGAATCAAACCCGGTCCTCCCAGATTAGAGTCCACGCTCCTAACCACTGCACCAAACTGGGTAGAAGAAGAAGAGAAGAGATTGGATTTATACCCTCCCCTTCACTTGGAGTCTCAGAGCGCCTTACAAACTCCTTTCCCTTCCCCTCCCCACAACAGACACCCTGTGAGGTAGGTGGGGCTGAGGGAGCTCTCTCGAGAACTGTCCTTGAGAGAACAGCTCTGCCAGAACTATGGCTTGCCCAAGGTCATCCAGCAGCCGCAAGTGGAGGAGTGGGGAATCAAACCCGGTTCTCCCAGATTGGAGTCCGCGCACTTAACCACTACACCAGACTGGTTTACAAAATTATGCATGGGATTATTATTATTATTATTTGGATTTATATCCCGCCCTCCCCGCAAACGGGCTCAGGGCGGCTCACAGGATGGAGAAGGCAGAGAAAGAAATAACTTTTCTGCCTTTCTCAAAATATGAGGACCCGTGGACACTCAGTGAAATTAATGAGCAGTAGGCTTAGAACAGATAAAAAGAAGTGCTCCTTCACCCAAAGAGTAATCAACACGTGGAATTCACCACTGCAGGAACTGGTAGCGGCTACTAGCATAGACAACTTAAAGAGGGGACTGGAGAAACGTATGGAGCAGAGGTCCATGAGTGGCTGTTAGCCACAAGGTATAGAGGGAAAACTCTGTCTGGGGCAGTGATGCTCTGTCTTTTCGGTGCTTGGGGGGGGGAACAGTGGGAGGGCTTCTGGAGTTCTGGCCCTGCTGGCGGACCTCCTGATGGCACCTGGGTTCGACCACTGTGTGACACAGAGCATCAGACTGCATGGGCCATTGGTCTGATCCAACATGGCTTCTCTTAACGTTCTTATGAAAGCTTATATACCCTGGAACGTTTTGTCGGACTTTGAGGTGGTTCCGGACTCAAACCTTGCTCTGCTGCTACAGTGTAACATGGCTGTGTGTGGAAGAAGAAGAGCTGGATTTATACCCCGCCCTTCACTCGGGAGTCTCAGAGCGGCTTACAATCTCCTTCCCATCCACTCCACACAACAGACACCCTGTGAGGGAGGCGGGCCTGAGAGAGCTCTGAGAGAACCGTGACTGACCCAAGGCCACCCAGCTGGCTTCTTGTGGAGGAGTGGGGAATCAAACCTGGTTCTCCAGAATACAGTCTGCCGCTCTTAACCGCTACACCAAATGGAAAGTGCCGTCAATTTACTGCGAACCCAACAAGGGGCGTTGAAGGCAAGTCAGAAGCAGGGATGGTTGGCCACCGCCTTCCTCTGCATAGCTTTCCTTGGTGGTCCCCCTTCCAAGCTCTGAACCTGCCTAGCTTCCGATACCTGAGATGATTGGGCCATACCCTGCTGCCTTCGCTCCTGGCTACACACCTAAAACATACACATTTGAAACTTGGACCCTGAGGCAGGCTGACCACAGTTGCCACAAGGGGCGGGGGAACTGTGTCTGCCCCTTGGACAGGACACCAGCAGGGTATGACACACAGTTAGCGGGGGGAACTAATCGGGTGCAGAGGCTGGAGTGTCTGAGACACAGGCTCAAACACATGTCCCTTGGTGGGCCATGGGCTGACCACTCTGCCTCACTTAAGAACATCAGAGGAGCCCTGCTGGATCAGACTGCTGGTCCCTCTAGTCCAGCCTCCTGTCTCCTGTCCAGCCTAGTTCCTCTGGATGGCCAGCAACAGGGCACAGAGGCCGAGGCCTTCATAAGAGCATCAGAAGAGCCCTGCTGGATCAGACTGCTGGTCCCTCTAGTCCAGCCTCCTGTCTCCTGTCCAGCCTAGTTCCTCTGGATGGCCAGCAACAGGGCACAGAGGCCGAGGCCTTCATAAGAGCATCAGAAGAGCCCTGCTGGATCAGACTGCTGGTCCCTCTAGTCCAGCCTCCTGTCTCCTGTCCAGCCTAGTTCCTCTGGATGGCCAGCAACAGGGCACAGAGGCCGAGGCCTTCATAAGAGCATCAGAAGAGCCCTGCTGGATCAGACTGCTGGTCCCTCTAGTCCAGCCTCCTGTCTCCTGTCCAGCCTAGTTCCTCTGGATGGCCAGCAACAGGGCACAGAGGCCGAGGCCTTCATAAGAGCATCAGAAGAGCCCTGCTGGATCAGACTGCTGGTCCCTCTAGTCCAGCCTCCTGTCTCCTGTCCAGCCTAGTTCCTCTGGATGGCCAGCAACAGGGCACAGAGGCCGAGGCCTTCCCCTGATGTTGTCTCGTGGCTCTGGGATTCAGAGCCTCTGAACGTGGAGACTCTCCTCAGCCACCGTGGCTAGGAGCCACTGATAAGACTTCTCCTCCACGAATCTGTCTACTCCCCTTTTAAACCTGACTATGTCTTCGGCCATCACTACATCCTTTGGCAGCGATTTCCACATTTTAATCACTGGCTGTGTAAAGAAATATCTCCTTTTGTCTGTCCCGAAACGACCACCCATCACCTTCATTGGATGCCCTCGGCTTCTAGAATTTTGGGAGAGGGAGAAGAAGTCCTCTTCATCTGCTCTCTCCACCCCATGCGTGATCTTATAAACCTCTATTGAGTCCCCTCTTACCTGTCCCTTCTCTAAGCTGCAAAGTCCCAGACTCTTTAGCCTTGGGGGTAGAATTCCGCCTAACCCTCTGACCTCTCTTCCCCCCATCTCTCTCTTCGAAAAGCACAAGAGTGCACACGGGCCGGCTTACGTCAGTGCAGGAGTACAACAGGCGGTGGCTGCTGCCACTGGCCAGAAAGCAGCTGCTTACTATGCAAGGTCTGGAATGAATGCACCTTGAACAATGGCAGGGGAGGTCATGCTCCACCCCCGGCAGCTGCTTCCACAGGCACTTCTGTAGCTGCCTCAGCAGGGAAACACTCCAAGAGCTGGATTCCAGAGGGGCTCCGACCGAGGCAGGCCTTTCAGCCCAGCTCCTTCCTCGGAGGGAGAGAAACCAAACGCGTTCAGGCAGCCACTGACCTTTGCCCTTCCTCTTCTTCCTCCTCCTCCTCCTCCTGAGCATGGACAAGGTCTCGGAATGACGTCACCCTGTGGTCACTGGAGGGGAAGAAACAAAAAGGACACCAAGGTGACAATTAAAAATAGTAGAATAAGAGATTGGATTTATACCTCGCCCTTCACTACCCAAAGGAGTCTCAGAGCAGCTTCCCCTCCCCACAACAGACACCCTGTGAGGTAGGTGGGGCTGAGAGCTCTTGACAGAAACTGCTCTTTTTCAAGGACAGCTCTTATCAGAACTACGGCTTGCCCAAGGTCATCCAGCCAGGTGTGAGTGGAGGAGTGGGGAATCAAACCCGGTTCTCCCAGATTAGAGTCCGCGCACTTAACCACCACACCAAACTGGCTCTAAAACTGGCTATACAGTCAGACCATAGTTGGCAGCTCAAGGATTATCTGTGATGCATTCAGCCTCTGCACGAATTAGAAGAAGGAGGAGGAGATTTGATTGATACCCCACCCTTCACTACTCAAAGGTGTCTCAGAGCGGCTTACAAACTCCTTTCCCCTCCCCTCCCCACTACAGACACCCTGTGAGGTAGGTGGGGCTGAGAGAGCTCTGACAGAAACGGCTCTTTTTCAGGGACAGCTCTTATCAGAACTAGGGCTTACCCAAGGTCATCCAGCCAGGTGCAAGTGGAGGAGTGGGGAATCAAACCCAGTTCTCCCAGATTAGAGTCCACGCACTTCACCACTATACCAAACCACTACACCCAACCAGTGTGGAACTGTCTTTCGCACCCACCCAAAGGAACAGGGTATTCTTTCAGGGACATAAACCCGGAAGTGACCCACGCTTAGGACAACCAACAAAAAGACCGTGACTATTAAAGTCGGTGCATGTGAATGGAGGGACTACAGGACGACACCCGCGGGTCCCTGCTGGTAAAAGGGCACACCTGGAAGATCTGTGGCCAGATCCACACCAGGCCTCCCTCTGCTCCAACGACCGCCTCTTTCTCTCCCCCTTCTGTGATTCTGGTTCTTAAAAAACTTCCAAAACGAAAGCTCATGCTGGAATAAACTTTAAGATGCCGTCGGGCTGCTGCTTTGTTTTAGTATTTTAAAAAACTCCCGTAAAGCCACCCCGAGTGAGAGCACCCAAGGACACAAATGGGCACGACACCACTCGGGCTCACCCTCCCCTTCGCGACAGCCCAGAATCGCGAGAGCTGTAATTCGGGGGCTTTTTGAGCAGAGAACTTGTGATGCTGCTGCGGTCCCAACTAACAACAATTTAAGGAATCAGATGAATAAATATAAATCTTGTATGACTTAACATCAAACAAGGCTCCAAATATTTCTCGAACATACAATAATATGAAATACAAGCAGGGGTCATTTCCTGCGGGAGCGCACAGGAGCGGAGCTCCGGCAGTAAGGAGCCCAGGGGGCGGGCACATGCAACCAGCCCCGCCCCTTGCTCCCAGCAGCCCTCAGTCAGGCCACGAGGAGCAAGAAGCAGCCAGGGGGCTTGCAGATGCAACAAGCCCCGCCCCCTGCTCCCAGCAGCCCTCAGTCGGGCCACGAGGAGCAAGAAGCAGCCAGGTAAGTTGCAGAGGCCCCCCCAGACTGCCTTCA